TGCCTACCGGAGAGACGATGAAAACAATTGATGATGAAGGTTAGAAATATCTGGGTATTTTGGAACTTGATGAAATATTGGAAGAGAAAATGAAAGGTCAATTTAAGAAAGAGTACTATCGAAGGTTGAGATTGGTCTTAAAATGCTAAGATGCTGACTCCCTTAAGATTGTTGATACGAATAATAGTGTCAATAAAAGCGATTACAAAGAAATTAAGATAAGAGAGGCAGAACAAAAGTGGAGAGAAAAGAAGATGTATGGTCAATTCTGTAGAGATGCCAGCAGAAAAGTTGATAAAGATAAACGTTGGATTTGGCTGAGAAAGAGTGATTTAAAACCAGAGACGGAAGCACTGATCTGTGCAGCGCAAGAACAGGCACTGAGGACAAATTACATTAAACACAAAATTGACCATACAAGGGAAGATGACAAGTGCAGAATGTGTGGAGAAAAGGGCGAAACAGTATGGCACATAACCAGTGAGTGTGAGAAATTAGCACAGATAGAGTACAAGAGAAGGCATGACAATGTAGCGAGAATTATACACTGGGGACTGTGTGGAAAGCATGGGATTGATAGAGAAAAGAACTGGTATGAACAGAGACCGATGGGGGTAATGGAAAATGACAAGGCCAAGATCCTGTGGGATTTTATGATCCAGTGTGATAACATGATTGAACACAGAAAACCTGATATCGTGCTAGTTGACAAAGAACAACGAACATGTGTCATTATCGATATTGCATGCCCTGGTGACAATAGAGTTGCAGATAAAGAGGATGAGAAATTGGAACGATACCACCAGTTGAAGAGAGAGGTTCGCCGACTATGGTCAATGAAAAAAGTGGAAGTGATTCCTATTGTTGTTGGCGCCCTGGGAACAGTGAGTATTGAGTTGGAAGAAAGAATAAAGAAATTGAATATCGGTATCAAGATTGAACAATTGCAGAAAACAACACTACTGGGAACAGCCAGGATCTTGCGAAAAGTACTGGAGATGTAGACAGAAAAAGTGACGTCACCTAAGCCTACTGGATGCAGGCAGCTGACGTTAATTTTCTGGCATAAAATGCCGTGCGTATGTAAATAATAATAATAATAATAATAATAACAATAATAATAACAACAATAATAATAACAATGAAAACTTTTATTCAATTTTTTTTAAAAAATACAATTGCAAATCTCCCTTAAAAGGTAACTTACAATTGGCTACTTGAGGTTACATTTTTTACAAAGGGCTAAACTAGATTTCACATTGCACAATATATTTTACAATTCAGATTTTCATCAAATCAGGACTAGACCATTCTTTGTTTCTAACACAGAAAATATGATAAGTTTATCGTATGGCTACATTTATAATCTTTCGAATTAAGTATTTAATATGTTGTTTATTTACATTTATATTTTCGAGCATGTCTATGAAAGAGGACGATTCTTTGTCAAAAACACCAAGAGCACTGATTGATAGATTAATAAATTTAACAGATCTGAAGTGCTTCTCTTGCTCTTTAATAAGTTCTTTATATTTTGTGTGTTTGCAATTTATGTTATTTCTGAGGTTAGTTTCATATCCGACAGTTAGTTCTAGTATATATAGGTGCTTGGGCTCTGTTGTAATGAGCAAATGAGGACGATACTTGTCACCAGTTATTATTGAGGGGTTAGAAAATCCAGGTATATCGGCAAATATATCTTGAAAATGCTCTGACAGCAGATTATTGGCAATGAAATTTAGAATCGAGTCGTGTCTCCATGCGAATCGATCCAGGTATGAGTTGCAGCCAGCGACTACATGAAGCAAGGTCTCCGGATGGAGGCAAAAAGAAAAATTGAAATTGCCAGCAATCACGATCTTCACAATTCTATCTCAAGTACGGTAGAAATAAGAAAATCAAGGCTTGTGGAGCAGTTTTCACTGCACAACAGTTTGTGCCATACATCTAGAAATTGTCCAAGATCTTTTAACTGATGCTTTTCTCTAATTAGACACAATCACATATTCTTTTGTATTTGTATTCCTCCAAGCTCTTAGCTCTAGCCGAGTGCCCAGGAAACAATAATATACGCTCTTTGTATACTCTGTGATATATATACAGTTGAATAAGAAAACAGCTCTAATGTGTAAGATTCCAGCTGTCTATTTTTGATGAAATATACTTACTATACTTCATTAATGAACTTCTTTGTTCAGAAAATGCAAATCAATCCAAACGCAGAATCTGCAAATATAAATAAAATGTATAAAATAAAAACGACTTTAAGTTTTGATTATACACTACAGGGTGTCCCGTATTCCTCCAAGCTCTTAGCTCTAACTGAGTGCCCAGGAAACAATAATATACGCTCTTTGTATACTCTGTGATATATATACAGATGAATAAGAAAACAGCTCTAATGTGTAAGATTCCAGCTGTTTATTTATGATGAATATACCTACTATACTTCATTAATGAACTTCTTTGTTGAGAAAATGCAAATTGTAAAGGCAAATGTAGCGCGCGGAGCCTGGGAGCAAGTTATGCTGCGCAGGCCTGGGCTCTGGTTTTTTGTTGTTCTTTACTGTTCGGCACATGGTTGAACCTTTTACAAGGTTCAAGGAAAAAAAAGTGTTTTTTTTCAACCAACGACAGTTATAGTTCAACCATATTGAACGGTTAATAACAAGATAAAGGAACAAAGAATGTCATGGAACATCTTCTAAACGGTGAATTGAGTCTACTGGATGAAATAAATGAAGAACAGAAGAGCTTGCCATTTATGCCAATGCTCAAAGAATCGGCGCCACTATTCTCGCCACTTACACCACGTTATCAGAACGTTGTTGATCCGCAGACCGATGTAACGGAGCCCGTGGTATGAAAAAAAGTACATGAAACGAACTCAAGTGTAGGCGTCTCGCACTTTAATCCAGATGAGTTCTTTAATTTAAACAGAAACACGGACACGGAAAATCGAATTCCTAGTACTGAAAGAGTTAATACGGATAAACATACCAATGCTCATTATGTTTGTGACAGAGAACGCTTAGGAACACTGGAGCAAAACCGTAAGTACATTTCACTTGACATCGAAAGACAAATTGAAAAAATAGTTCCCTTATTGGCTTCAGTTGAAAACGAAGAAGTAATACGAACATATGCATCTCGATTGGATAAACTATTTGTGGACTTACAACAAGCCCATGTACTATATCTAAAGGAACTAAATAATGAAGGAGATATCGAACTAGCAAAAGGCTGGTATGATACGCAAGATAGAAATGTGTTTGAATTCAAGAAAAAAATTATTGAATTCCTAGCCACAGCCAAGGACAAAGATGCATTAGAAGCTCAATGTAACAAGTCCGAACGATCAAATATTTCTAATAGATCTAGTTTATCAGTGGCATCTTCAGCCTCTACAAGAGCAAGGTTAACTGCAATAAGAGCTAAGTCAGCAGCGTTAGAAGTAAAAGCTTCATTTTTGAAAAGAAAACAAGAACTTAGAATGGCAGCAGAAGAATTAGAACTTAAACAGCAAATGGCTGAAGCTAAGGTAGAAGAGCAAATTTATGAACAGGAATTAGGCACATATACGGACAATGTTGAGTTAAATGCCAATGCTATGCCCTTTGAACCTGATCATAGAAATATTGAACAACAAACTGGCCATTCAGATGCCCACCTAGCAAAGCTTGTCGCTAATGGTGATGGTTTAGATAATCAAGTGCAGAGCAACCCAATCGTTTCCACAGATCAGCTTACTCCTGTAGCTACTGCACCTAATGCAAAGGTTACATCTAGTGAGCAAAGGCCAGTGGAAATAATAACATCAACCTTAGCTCCCAAAGACGAAACACAATCAAATTTAACCCTCGACAACGATCAGAAAGCTAAAGATGCATTCGCTGACATTGACCCATTTAAAGAATTCCTCAAGATACAGAAAAGGCAGACTGAGTTGACAAATATCATGGCGACTCATCAACTGAAGAGTACCCTTCCAACCCACAAACCCCCAACATTTTATGGCGAAGCAATGGACTATCCAGCATTTATCACAGCATTTGACACTTTGGTTGAAGCCAAAGTCACTGACCCCATTGAGCGCTTATATTATCTGGAGCAGTACACTGCTGGCCAAGCAAAAAAGGTAATTAAAGGATGTTTTCAAAGCAAATCTGAGTCGTCATATGAAGAAGCGAAAGCGCTTTTGAAGAAACACTTCAGAGATTCCTTTAAGATAGCAAATTCTTACATCACAAAACTATCAAATTGGACGCAGATCAAGCCAAACGAGGGAGGAAAACTGCAAGAATTCGCCATGTTAGAACAGACGAAAGCGGCTATAAAGGGAATGGATTATATGGGTGATTTAAACACTGCTCATGTTATGCGCCAATTATGGGAAAAATTACCGCGGTATCTTTGTGGAAAGTGGTGCGAAAGAGCGAACAATATTAGAACTAACCAAGAAAGAATGCCTAGCTTTGCAGATTTTGTACAGTTTGTAACCAAACAAGCAGATTTGGCCACTGATCCTGTCTATTCAGAGGACTCTGTCTATAAGGAAATCTTACAACCTGCGAAACGAGATCGAAGACCTAGAGGATCCAATTTTGGTACACTATCAAGGGAAAGCAGTCAACAATCAAAGAGTCCCCTAACGTGTGCGATGTGCCACAAGCCGCATGATTTAGACCAATGCACAGAATTCAAGAAACAATCTTTAGAGAAGAGAAAGAATTTCCTAAAAATCAAGGGAATGTGCTATGGATGTTATGGGCAAGGTCATATCGCCAAGTTTTGCAAACGAAAGAAATCATGCCAGATATGTAAAAAGAATCACCCCACTGCCTTACATGACCCTCACTGGAAACCGCCTGATAAATCCAATAAAGAGAAGGAAACCGAGGACATGGGCAAACACGATGCAAAAAACAACTCTCCAGATAATCAAGTTAATAACTCTCATGCAACAATTTGTGACCGAAGCTGGTGACAATCCAGTTAACATGGGTATAGTATCAGTATGGTTGTATCATAGAGACAATCCGGGTAAGAAAGTAGCAGTGTATGCCCTACTCGACAATGCCAGTGGCAGCACCTTTATCAAACAAGAAACCTTGAGAAAATTGGGAGTGAAAGGAAGTGATACAAGGCTCCAATTAACGACCATGCATGGCACAAGGGAGGTGGAAACTAAAGCGGTTGAAGGCTTGGTTGCAGAACATTTTCAATATGATCATATCAGTGTCCGCTTACCCAGAACATACGAGCGACAACAAATTCCAGCAGATCGAGATGAGATTCCGCGACCAAATCAGATAGGTAAATGGTCCCATCTGAAGGAGGTGGCGGAGCGAATTCCAGCGTATATGGAGAACATCGAAGTAGCGATTCTAATTGGCCTAAACTGTCCAAGCGCACTAAGACCACGAGATGTTTTTCATGGTAATGATGAGGAACCTTACGCGGTGAAATCATTGTTAGGATGGCACATCAATGGCCCGGTGAATCAGAACACTAGCAAGTCAGTATCGTGCAACAGGATTCTCGTGAGTATGGGCAGTTTTGGCAGTCAAGCAAGAGCGTGCGTTACCATCCAGAGAGATGTCAAAGAGATTATTTCTCCTAACGCGGTGAAAGAAATGTTTGAGATAGAGTTTGCTGAACGTGAACGTGGAAAGGGTTTATCTCAAGATGACCTCAAGTTCTTAGAGAAAGCTAAAGAAGGAATACATCATTGTGAAGACATGCATTACGAGATGCCTCTGCCCTTTAAAAACGATGATGTACAGTTACCAAATAACCGACCTGCAGCCGAGCAACGCCTTCGTGGCCTAAGAAAGAAACTTCAGAATGATGAACAGTATCGTACGGACTATTTAAGTTTTATGAATGAAATTATCAAGAAAGGTTATGCACGAAAGATTGATCAAAGGGAACAACCAGTGAAAGAAGGAAGAGTGTGGTACATACCCCACCACGGTGTGTATCACCCACATAAACCAGGAAAGATCAGGGTTGTCTTTGACTGCTCGTCACGTTATCTCGGAGAATCATTGAACGACCATTTATTGCAAGGGCCAGACCTCACGAGCAAACTTATCGGAGTCCTAACCCGATTTCGACAAGAAAAGGTAGCATTTACTGCTGACATCGAACAGATGTTCTACCAAGTGAAGGTGAGAGAAGAAGATCAAGATTTCTTACGGTTCTTATGGTGGCCCAGTGGAAACCTTACCATGGAGCCAGAAGAGTACTGCATGACAGTGCATTTATTCGGGGCTGCATCCTCCCCTGATTGTGCTAATTATGCGCTTAAACGTATGGCGGACGACAATGAAGACCAACTTGGAACTAAAGCGGCAGATACCCTTCGTCGAAACTTCTATGTGGACGATAGTTTAAAATCAACACCCACGGTGGATGAAACTGTCGGCCTTGTAAAGGATGTCCAAGAAATGTGTTGTAAGGGAGGTTTTAATCTCACCAAGTTCATAAGCAATAGTGTCGAAGTAAATCAGTCAATTCCCTTGAAGGATCGAGCAAAGAATATAAAGGAACTTGAACTTGGTCAAGACAGGCTACCTATTGAACGGACACTAGGAGTGCTTTGGTGCGTAGAATCAGATAGTCTTAAATTTAGAATTGAGTTAAAGGATGTACCATGCACGAGAAGAGGAATCCGAGAAGAGGATAAGTTCCGTTTATGACCCTTTGGGCCTTATTGCGCCCGTCATCCTCGTTGGAAAACGAATATTGCAAGATGTTTGTAAAGGCTTAGATTGGGATGTACCTATTTCTTATGATCTATACTCAAGATGGGAGAAATGGAGAAATGAACTTCATTTACTCGAGCAACTAGCTGTTCCACGAAGCTTCAAACCAAGAGACTTTAGAAAGGTTGTGTCTAGGCAACTCCACAGCTTATCTGATGCATCGAAGATAGGTTATGGCCAAGCTTCGTATCTTCGCTTAACCGATGAAAATGGTCGAATACACTGCTCATTTGTTGCTGGCAAGGCAAAAGTTACACCACAGAAAACAGTGAGCATTCCTAGGCTGGAACTAGCCGCAGCAACCGTATCTGTCAGAGTGGCTGAGATGCTAAAAGATGAATTAGATTACGAGGACGTAGACAATTTCTACTGGACAGATAGCGAAGTAGTATTTGGCTTTATCAACAACGAATCCAAAAGGTTTCACGTCTATGTCGCTAATCGCGTGCAACTAATACGCGATCACACAGCTCCTGAAAAGTGGAAGCATGTTGCCACGGCAGCCAACTCAGCGGACGAAGCTTCCAGAGGTACGACAGCGAAAGCGTTTCTAGAGAAATCGAAGTGGCCCAGATTTCCTGTGGCAGACCGAAGATAATTGGCCAAAGCAACGAGTTGAGCAACGAGCGCTCGAGGAAGGCAACTCGGAAGTAAAGAAAGTCAACGCAAGGGCTTCGTCAGTGCGAGAAGTAGGTATGCTCAAAAGATTGGAACGGTTTTCTTCATGGGTATGAGCTAAACTAGCAATCACCAATTGCATAAGATACGTGCGAAAGTTGAAAGAAAGGGTTAGAAACGGAAGCAGTACGCCATCGCCAATCAGCGTGAATGACCTAAAGAACGCAGAGGTGGTAATCATCAAGTGGATGCAGCACGATGCCTATTCGGAAGAAATCGAACTGTTACAGCAAATTCAAGTAACTAATGGCCTCAAAGATCGAGAGTTTGCCAAGAAGAAGAAGGCTATGACGAAAGCAACTTGTAGCATTTACAGGCTAGACCCCTTTTTGGATCAGGATGTAATTTTAAAAGTCGGAGAAAGACTTAACCGAGCAAATCTGAGTAAGGACATTAAACATCCCATCATCCTTCCAAAGAAATGCCATCTGACGATCTTAATTATTCGATATTTTCATGCCAAGGTCCAACATAGTGGTAGAGGAATCACCCTGAATGAACTGCGCACAAATGGCTATTGGGTAGTAAACGGAAACGCAGCTGTTCGATCGGTTTTGGCTAAGTGTGTTACTTGTAGATATCTGCGCGGATCCGTAGGCGAACAAAAGATGGCAAACCTACCTGAATCACGACTGGAACCTGCTCCACCTTTCACATATTGCGCGGTCGATTATTTTGGACCATTATTAATAGGACAGGGACGCAAAGAAGTTAAACGGTACGGATCTCTCTTTATGTGTCTCGCAAGTCGGGCTGTGCATATCGAGGTGTCCGATTCGCTTGACACAGATTCGTTTTTGCAAGCCTTGAGAAGATTTATTTCGCGAAGAGGACCTGTGCAAGAAATCAGAAGTGATCAAGGAACTAACTTTGTCGGTGCGGGACAATGAACTCAAGCGGGCTTATGAAGAAATGGATGATGACAGTGTGAAAGCTGAGTTGTTAAAGAACAATATTGAGTGGAAAAGAAATCCACCTTCAGCAAGTCATTTCGGAGGGGTTTGGGAAAGACAGATAAGATCTATACGAAATATATTAGCTGCCCAAATCAAGGAACATGGTCACATGTTGAATGACGAGAAACTTAGAACCTTACTATGCGAAGCTGAGGGCATCATTAACAGCTGTCCTCTTTCCACCGAGTCTCTCAGCGACCCATTTTCCCTCAAACCACTAACACCGATGACACTCTTGACGGGAAAATCGAAGGTGGTATTACCACCCCCTGGGAAATTTCAACGTACCGACCTATACTGCAGACGGCAATGGAGACAAGTTCAACACTTAACCAACGAATTCTGGAAGAGATGGAAAAATGAATACTTACAAAGTTTGCAGCCAAGACAAAAGTGGAATAAAGAAAGACGGAATTTTGAAGTGGGCGACGTGGTGTTGGTAAAAGATAAGGATCTTGCAAGAAATCAATGGTCTATTGGTAGAGTCATGAGCACCAAGGCTGACGAACAAGGACTGGTAAGATCTGTCCACTTAAGAATGGCCAGTGGATCAACATTAGAAAGACCAATAGATAAACTCGTACTGTTATTAGAAACTGAACTAGAGTAAAAAGTATAGAGACCGGGACTCCCCGACGAGGAGCCAGGTTAATAATAACGTATTATCGGACACATATACGGTTTATATTAACATTGTTTAGAAAATGTTTTTGTAAAACATTTTGGGGAGCCATGTAAAGGCGAATGTAGCGCGCAGAGCCCGGGAGCAAGTTATGTTGCGCAGGCCTGGGCTCTAGTTTTTTTTTTTTACTGTTCGGCACATGGTTGAACCTTTTACAAGGTTCAAGGAATAAAAGTGTTTTTTTTCAACCAACGACAGTTATAGAAATCAATCCAAACGCAGAATTTGCAAATATAAATAAAATGTATAAAACAAAAACCACTTTAAGTTTTGATTATACACTACAGGGTGTCCCAAAAAAAACGAAAACTATTGAAATCAGTCATTGTTAAAATTTGAATGCCGTGTTCACGAATTTTAGCCTGTGGGGATTTAATGCACCTTATAAACTGCTAAATGCTTTGTGTTGCTAAAAAAAGGGGACATGTCATAGGTTATGGTCCTTAATATACACTTTTAAATATTGTTATCCATATTTGTAAATTGTAAATATTGTAAATAAATATAATTTTTGCGTACAGGCAAATTTTACTGCATCATATATATGCATGCATAAAAATGCATATGGCAAACATTTATACACCTGTGGGTCCCAACAGAGCTCTTAGCCATTCAAACTCTAACAATTGCATTGTTATGGGTGATTTCAATAGTTTTTGGGTTTTTTGGGACACCCTGTATAACGGACGTAGCCGGAAGTAGTTTTGTAAGTATGGAGAGGCTGGAAGGATTCTTTGCATTGTCAGTCACTCAAGGCTGGTTTTTATAAAACATAATTTGTTATGGTGCTGTGTCATAATTCACATGATGTAATTTATTGTAGTTCTGTTTCCATATGTTGGATTTTGAAAAACAACGAATTATAACTTGTGAATTACGATGAATTATGTTATATGAAAACAAACTTTAATAGCGTACCTGTGGGAAGCATCTTGTCTTTGACTCATTGTATTTCTTGTATTTAACATAGCCAAATGAACTTTCAAGGATCTTGGAATCCAGTGGCCAGTTGTTCGAAAGGCATTTAGATATTAAGGCAAAAGATGTATGTTCAGTCATTTATAACATATATATGAGACTTTTTTTTTTGGGGGGGGGCTTATCTGCCGTTTAGGCCAAACGTCTTTCAAGCAAACGGCCCCTGCTCTGGATTACTTCAAGTTCATTTAGTTTAAATACTTTACTTACTAAAGTGACTATTTTGGGTCATAAAGTTGACAATGTTTGTATCTTAACTAGGCATTTTTATATTGTATTATATATTTTTATATATTATAAATATTTATATTGTAGAGATTGGCAAATGTAGAGCCACTATGTGGATATGTTGCCCAATAAATCATTATTATTATTATTATTATTTGGGAATTTGTATACATCATGCATCCTGGCTATACTTGGTGTCATCAAATCGACCACATTGCAAAAGTAAATCATAGGACATTGACAGTCAGGGAATCCTATTGTTGGTGATTACTGAGGAATAAACTGCTTTGTTAATTTAAAAAAAAATTTTATCGCCAATTACCAACAATACACAGCTGACTTTATATTAAGAACTAGGCTTAAGGCTCATTCCAGACGTTGGCCTTGTCATGTGCCAAATCTAATGCAAATAAACATGTTGAAAAATTTAGTGCACAAGTGCATATAGTTCCCCCCCCGAATATAAAAATTTGCACATGTTTTCACATTTTGCATATGTTTTTAAACTTTTTTACTGCTAAAAATCAGTCGTTTTGCACCCCCCACCAGGTATAAATGTGCACTAGGGTTGCCAGCTAGATTACCAAATAAATGAGACATATTATAGCAGGATCATATAAACAGCCTATACTCAGGAAGGCAATTCAAACAATAAGCAATGAGATGGTTAAACTAATTAAATTTAATTATCATCTTGTTATCTGTTGTTTCAATTGGATTCGATGCGATCAAAATGCGATGTATAACCTGTAACGTTTTCAAAAGTAAAATCTATATTCTATGTATATCACTGTGCTATATTCTATATTATCACAATTATATGCTAGAACTAGGCCAACAAAACCATTTTAAACCCGCACGTTAATTAATTTGCATATTGTTTATGATTAAGTTCAGTTCAAGCCATAATACATTATGCATGCACATACCGTCACATCTTCCTTCTTCGAAATGGATTTTTTTAAAGAATATTTGAATGTACTAACTATTGTAATAAGTTTTTAACTAACGAGTTGTTTTTATTTAAAAAAAAAAGTTATGTAATATTATGCCCCTGCTATACCAGTTCCAATCACACAGGGATCATAACAACCAGCCAGTGTTCAAGTCTCATAATCCTCAAGGTATGCCGGTCTTCTAAGAAGACGTCCTCTGGAACTGTACTTTCTACTAAATTCCCCCGGACCTTGATGCTCCTGCTGTTGAACACCTGTTGGGCTTGTTACTGTCGACGACTCCTCTTTTGCCTGAGGCATAGGCTGTGAACTAGTGTTCTGTTGCACGAACTCTTCTCGAACAAATGAGTTCTAATTACCTCCCAAGGTCTTGAAGGAACAGAGTGTGCAACCATGGGTTCTTTCTGCTGCTCCTGTGAATATACCTTACAAACGGAACACTCTGAAATGTACTTGTCCCTAAATTACTTGAGTGGATTTTTTTCAAGAACTTCCGACGTAAAGCTTGCAGTATTACCAAAGGCTCACCCTTGAGTATAATGCCATCCTGTACGGTCAATTCTTCTCTAAAGGTCGAGTATTTCTGAAGTTGCAAAGGAACTTTTTTCATTGACTCAGACCATCCATCTCTTATTACTTGCTCCAACGCTAGAAGTTCTGGGTCTTCCTGAGTGACACATCAAATTCTCTGGAGTGTATCCTTTCTAATTGGCAAGTTCTGTACGACGTTAACTTGCTCAATATCAATTCAACTGGTCAAGTTTGCATCACTCATAAACACATCAGCATGTTTCCCTTCCTCCTGAGGGCTCTAAGAATCTGGAAGAAATGCTCTGTTCAGTGCATCAGCCATCACCACCATTATTGATTCTCTCTTATATGTGACTGTAAAGTCGTATTTCTGCAGCCTAAGAAGCATTTGTTGAAGTCGCTTTGGGGTGGAATGAAGACTTTTTTTAACTATTGTTTCAAGTAGCTCATTCGTTTCTCTCCTTAATTATTTCTCACAACGGTCTTGTCACCTCGGCCAGCTTTGGAGCAAATTTCTGCAAATAGTTGGCCATACCCAAAATGCGCTGTACAGCCTGCTTGTCTTTCGGTTGAGGCATTTCAGTTATCACTCTCACTTTCGCAAGGTGTTCCAAAGGTTGTAGCAAAACTACTCTCCTCATCTAAAACAACTTGCCAAAACCCATTCTTCGTATCCAATACAGTAAAACATCTGGCTTTCGACAACTGAGGTAGAATATCTTCTATAGTTGGAAGAGAATAGTGGTTCCTCTTCAGGACTTGGTTGAGATGCTTTGGATCAATACACACCCGAATACGATCATCTTTCTTTCGGGCCACCAGCAATGCCGATATCTAATTTGTTGGAACATCCACGGAAAGTAAGACGCAGAGTTCACCAATCTGTCCAGCTCCTTCTTTAACTCATCTCTTACAGCAATGGGAACTTTCTTGGTTGGCAACTGCACCAGAGTTATTTCAAAATGTAAATTGCCTTCTAACTTGCCTTTGCCAACAAATACGTCCGAAAATGCCTTTATCATATTTTCCTTCAAGATCACCTTTGACACTTCTCTGAGAATCGAGGTACTTATACCAAGAATATTTTCTTCATTAACAACTGCATCTGTTGGCTTGCTGTGGAACCCAACAAAGGTCTAGAGTCACCCTTTATCACCAAAAATTCAACACTATTTTTCTTACCATTTTTTGGATTCACCACTCTCACTCTTTTCCTTCCTAGATGCTTCTCCTCACTCTTATTATACATAACTAAAGTTGTGTCCGTACTTTTAAGACAAAGCTAAACTTCCCTGACCATAAGCTTTTACATAATCCGACTGTGAAAGTACATTAACTGATGCATCACTGTCTAACTGAAAAAGCAGCGGATAGTCATTCAACCTCAAGGTGGCAAGTCTTTCTTGCCATAGCACCGATGGCACAAACTTTCCCCTTTACTTTCAGACAGGCAATGTACTCCTCTGAGTCACTCTCGTCAACATACTTCAGAGGTTTTCTTAAGCTTTCATGAAGCTCTTGATACTTCACGTCACCATCATGCAGCAAAATGTCTTTTT